CCGGCGGGACCCAGCCCCGTGGGGAGAGGGGGTTTCGGTGAATCCACAGCGGAAATAAACCGCCGCTGCGCGGGCACGGCAGACCCAGCGCATCGTACGCGCCCGGGTTCAGGCTCCCGGGAAGGCACCGCCGTCCTTTTAGTCGTGAAAAGTCCGACGTGTTCTGGAAAAAAAATCACGACGACTAGAAGTTTTTGCCAAGCGGCAGAACTTCACATTTTCGTTATTTTCAGAATAACGGGTGAGGCAACAATTACAAACTTCCAGCCGTTACCTGGAAAGAGTTAACCGTACAAAACCGGAACGAATGGTTCTTTACAAAGACGTATTTGCCTCCTCACTTCTGTCGTCTTGGAAGAAACCACAATTAAAAAGCAAGTCAGGTTTTCGGAAGCTTGTAATACAAAAGTGGACTCGGTACAAAAGCAGCCGTACAACAACAAGACCTTAGCGAAGGGCCACCAGCCATCGGCCCAGCATTTAGGCTTCCCAAAGCGTTTAAGAGCAGCTCAGAACTAACTAGTCATTTTTAAAGCACCTGCTTAGGAGCTGAATGACAACTTTTATTCTTTCGAACAACTGCAATCTTGAGGTGACAGCGCGCTATTAAGCCACGTAACCTATTTAGAGCGATAAAATTGTCTGTGTTCCTTTACCAGTAGAGCTTGATCGTCTTCGGTTTCTTGTATTCGCCATATTGAAAGCGTTGCTCAGAAAGCAGGATGCCAGTTCTGCACAGGATCAACCATTTTTCCAAGGAAGAATGAAACCCCCTCGTCCGAAACCGAGCCCCGAGTGCTGCGGTGCCGAGTCCAGGCGCCTCCGGCGGGTTATGCACAGACGGCGACGGCCGCTTCCACCCCTCCCTCCCCTTTACGTTCCAGGGGAAGACGTGGTTTAATGACTATTAGGGAGAAAATGTTTTCCAAGAACTATATAAAAGCACTGGATTTTGTTTGGATGCCGTGACAAACCGCACTCGAAGAATCCCTTTTCTATTTTTATTACGGCAAGGTGTCTTCCCTCAAACTATCTTTCCCCAAAAGCAAGCATAAAAACTTCAGGTAATGCAAAAGAGGGTGGCTCGAGCAAACTGCTGCGAGTGCCCAACACTTGTGCCTCACTACCCGACTGCACCCAGATAAAATTCAAGGTATTCGCTAAAACCTGAGCCTCAGAATCATTTAAATGAGGCCTCTCGCTCCTTCTCAACAGTCGGACAGCTAAAGAAACTGAAGCCGAGGAAGCCCCACCAACAGTTTACAGTTTGATTTAAAAGATACCCAGCACTGCACGCTCTCTTAAATTATCTTGGTGATGCTGGGGAAAAGTTGCTGGTCAAAGAGGCTAACTTAACATAAATAACACAAGAAGCCAGACAATTACAAGACTAGTGAAAATTTCTCAAAACACACCAATACTGAATTGATTTCTCCTGTAACAGAAATGAACACGGCATCAAATATGTATTTTACCCTTAAATAGAACAACTTTATTCAACCAAATCCAAGATTATTCCAAACCTATTCCTTAGGATTGGCTTACAGAATTATTTTTGCTGTTTTTCCTATTCAAAAATCCCTTACATATTGCTTAGAAAAAAAATCTTATCTTTGAAATTTTAATTTAAAAAGCATTTTGTTGGAAAAACAGAAGGTGAGAACCCAATTTTTCTTAATCATCCTTTTCTATTTCTCCAACAAAACTAGATGGAACGGTGCGAAGTTACACCAATGCTTTGCTCAACTTTATAAAAATGAGAATTAAGAAGTACGACTTCCAAGTAACCTAGCCAATGGTGACATCAGCAGACGCATCAGGAGCTGGGAGCAACTAACAACACAGAGTTTTAAGCCTGTGGTCTTCAGCCATGCCGCAATTCTACCCTGCATACTAGGCACTGCACTCTAAGCCTAGCAAAACAATTTAAAGTTCTCTTTATTTCAGCGAAGTTGAAATAATTTTACTTTGAAGATTTTGGTTCAGGGGCCTAAAGGCTCAATCCTGCCGGCAGCAAGCGAACCGGCACGCACCGTATTATTACACGACCGGCTGAAGAGGATGAACGTCTCCTGTCCCTGGAGCGTGTTAGGAGCTTGTACAGAAGAACAGGCCACAATCCCAGGACTGTATTTTGAAAGCATTGTAATCGTTTACTTTATAGAAAAGTTATGTTTCCAGCCAAAAGTCTCTTCCAAGTTAACAGACACGTTTGTGGATGACTTTCAAGATCCAAATAACCTAGCGGACGCAACAGAGAAAAAGTAGATGAGAACTGGGTACAACTGTTAACAGCCATGCCAATGCCCTTCCAACTCAGAACTCTACTGCACATCTGGAGATCGATTTTGCTCCCCCACACATCAGACCACAGAGCTACAGAAGTGAAAGGAAAGCAGCCTGCTAGCCTCCCTGTCAGAACTAAAACCTCTTTCCAGAGACTATTCTCAAGGCTGATTCCATTCTATTACTTGGTGGGTTCCCCCCCGCCCCAAAATGAAAAACATCCCAAAGTTAAACTGAAATGCTGACCCAAGTGATGTTTTATTTAAGCAACCCACGACAAGGAACACTGTATCTAAGGCTAAATGACTCGCACGCTGGCAGAGGTTTTCATGCACTACAGGTGCCCATACTAGCAAAGAAGTACGAGGTCAGCCAACGTCTCTTTGAAGACTGAAATAAGTGAAATGAAAAGGAATTAGGGAACAATAGAGTGGGAGAGAAAGGGATCCAAAACGAAATGTATGTGCAAGAAAAATCCCAACACATACGACTTCCCATAAGCAAATGACAAGATGCTACACAGCGTTAACTTACACAATCATGCAGAACATCATGAAGACATTCCACAAGGCAATGAAGATTCGAAAATACCTGAGACTCAGCAAAAACTCTCTGATATTATCACCTAAAAATCAAGAGAAGAAACCTTTGACGTTAAAAATACCTAATACACTGACAAGTCACATTTTCGACACTACCTGAAAAATATAAGCAACTCTGACACAGAAAAAAACCAAAAAGGTCAGTGAACAAAAAACTGGATGCTGAAGTATTAGGTAAAGGATCCATACTATGTTCGCTGCATCCCTACTAAGGGCATGTGGGAAAGTAAACAATGAAGGATAGAAAGGGGTCAAGCTATTAAAAAGGGAAGGACAGCCCTCTGTTGTAGTTCCCAGCCTTCCTGCTGCTTTTAACCAGTGAGCGGAGATAGAAAGGAGCAATGCAGGTGCATACACGCCGAAATGGGAATCGGGCCGTAAGCAGAGCGTTACCTCTGTAGCACAGGCACCTACATTCAAAAATGCAGAAAGAAATGTGCGGTTTTGTATTTCTTCTCGAATCACCAATTTGGGATCAACAGTTAGGTTTGTCATGCCTGTATGTGAACATCACGGAGGAAAATTTTAGGTTGCAATTTAGTAAACCAGTTACTCCGGTCACAGAGTAATTCGCATCCAAACAAGATGGGGCTAAACTTGTACTTCGGCGCCTTGAAAATGCTTTAACCAAGAATTTCCTTCAGAAAACGCCCGTTCCTGCACGTATTTAGACAGCCCTGAGCAGAGAGGCGGTCCAGGGGTAAGGGCGCAGGCTGGCTGTGCCCAGACCCCGCTCCGCGGCTCCCGGGTCCCCTCCGTTACCGGTCGTGGGTTCCCTCGACTCCTCGCCGAAGCCCTCCGTGTCTCTCTTCCTCCTGCGGGACAGCGAGAGGGGGGGGTCCGCATCAGGGAGGGTGAAGCCTCCCCCTCCAAACCGGCGCCTCCCTCCCTCCCTTTCCCGCCCGCTCACAGCCTGAAGTTGAGCACGGCGCCGGCGTTCATCAGCAGCGTCCTAAGGGAGAGACAGAGAGAGCGCGTCAGGCACGGCCGGGCCGGGCGGA